CGGAAGTGCGGAGTCTTAACCACTGGACCGCCAGGGAAGTCCCTCCCATGTTTCTAACATATAAAAATATTCCTGTGATAATTCCTCTTTTCATGGTGAATCTAATGTGATCTTACAGGAAACTTTAGGCTTTCTTCAATCTCCAAGTAAGATGAAGGTGATATTATACGTCAAAGAAGTCTTGTGGAAATATTTATTTTGACTGTACAAAGTTTGTTGGGGATGAAGAGGTCGAAAAGGAGGGAGAAATTCATCACATGTATTCTGGAGAGAGTCCATACATCTTCCTTTCACCATCCTTCATGCCTGTCAACTCTCTATTTGCAAATGAAATAATGATGCCATGATTTATCCCGTTGCTGCATTTCTTGCTTATAATAGTATTTGCCACTTTTTCATCCTTACCTTTCTTGGCCTCTCTGTGGCCCGCAGCATTGCTACTTCTGCTTCTGACAACTCCCCTCTCTTCTTGGAATTCGTTTGGGCTTGTAACTCCTGAATTCTAAGCCCCACCTAGACTTGCTCTGAGCTCCAATCCCTCAGCTCTAACTTCCTACAAAACACTCCCCCCTGCAAAGTTAGCATCCTCAAAACTCAAGTCGCCATTTCCGCCCATCTCCTCACCTTGAACCTGTGCCTGCCCCAGGGGTCCACTTTCAAGGACCAGCACCCAGTGGCTGAAACCTGGCATCTCCCACTCTCCCCTGCCCCACATGGTTGGTCACCTGGTCACCTCAACAGTACCTCTCACATCATCTCTTCCGAGCCTGCCCCTTGCTCTAATCACTGCCTTATTTCGAGCTTTCATCATTTCTCACCCAGATTTCTGCACGAGCCAGACTCCTAGGTGTCCCAGCCTCTAGGTGTGCTCCCCTCGTCTTCCAAGTCAGCCTCCCCACTGTCGTGAGTCCGTTATGCCTTTGTCTAAAGTCACTAGTTACAATTCCAGCTTATTAGGGCATTCAGTGGCCCTCACGTGTGACACCTGCTTGCTGTTCCTGCCTCATTCCCCTCCAAGTGACTACACGTGCTCCCAAACGTGGGAAGACATGCCCCAGGCACTCTCACGCCAGCCTGTCTCCGCATTTGCACGTTCCCTCTGTCAGGAGCTCCCCTTTCTCTTATTTGCTTGGTTAATTCCGACAGCTCAAATGTCACTTCTCCAGGGAGCCCTCCCTCACCTGACCCAGCCTATCCCCTCCACTGTTCCCCAAACCACCAGGGGCCAATCTGAGCGTCCACACAACCTGGACTTTTTCTGTTTCTCCTAAAACTCACTCCACTGTAGTACTGCTGCTTATCGACCCTTCCTCCCCTCCCCAACTCTGCTCGAGGGGGTGGGAACTGTACTGAGTTCATCTCCTCAGCCCCAAGGCCCAGCGTGCAGACTCAGAGCTCAGCACACACTTGCTGGGTGAAGGAAGAGAATCACAGGGGGAAAGGGGGGACCACCTTACTTGTCTCCTGCGGGTGTTTTCTTGCCCTGGGCCCTATGCTGTCACTGCCCTTTCCTCAGTGTCACCATATCTGAGTTAAGGGATGTCTTTAGATGGCAAAAATCACCGGCCTCTTTTAAGCAGTATATCCAGTGACCTCTGCTAGCAAACTGTTCATTCAGCGTAGCAGCCAAAGTCCCGATAACGGCCTTGAGGTCCTGCCACTTTGTCTCACTCTCTATAACCTTTCTGACAATGTCACCTGCAACCCAGGCTTTCCTATGTCTGCTCCAGACGCATGGGCTTCCTGGCAGATCCTTTGAGAAACTGCAAGCCTGTTCCTGCCTCAGGGTTCTCACAGTTGCCTAGGATGTCAGAATGTTCTTCCTCCCAACAGCTGCCCTTTCAGGTCTTTGCCCCCGTGTTACAGTCTGACACCTCCTTTAACCACCCTGAGCTTCACACTTCCTATTATTACTGCTTCCCTACTTCGTTTTTCTCCGTAGTGTTTATCTGCCATGCTATCTATTTTGTTTGTCGCTGTCAAAGAACGCAAGCTCCCTGTAGGGAGGGATGGTTGTCTGTTTTATTCCCTGCTGAATCCTCAACATCCAATTCCTGGAACACAGCTCGCACTCGGTGAGTCACCTGGCACCCTAGGTTATGCTTTTCCAGCTTTTAGAAAGCAGCACAAACAACAACAACGAAACAGACAACCTGATTTTAAAATGGGCAAAGGACCTGAACAGACATTTCTTTAAAGAAGATATATCTGGCCAATAAGAAGCACATGAAAAGATGTTCAACATCGCTAATCGTGGGAAATACATACCTACAATGAGGTACCACTTCACACTCATTAGGGCGGCTATTATTTTAGAAAAACAGAAATTAACAAGTGTTGGCAAAAACGTGCGGAAATTGGAACCCTTGTGTACTGCTGGCGGGAATGTAAAATGGTGCAGCTGTTGTGCAAGACAGCATGGTGGTTCCTCAAAATATTGAACAGAATTACCGTTATCACCCAACAATTCCACTCTGGGTGTATATTCAAAAGAATCGAAAGCAGGGACTCAGACAGGTATTCAAACACCCATGTTCATAGTGGTAATATTCACAATAGACAATGAAAGCAAGTGTCCATCGACGGATGAATGGATAAACAAAATGGTATGTACGCACACAACAGAATATTTATTATTCAGCCTTAAAAAGGAATAAGATTATGACGCATTCTACAACATGGATAATCTTTGAAGACATTACGGTAAGTGATATATGCCAACTACAAAAAGACAAATATTATATGATTCCACTTATAGGAGGCCCCTAGAGCAGTCAAATTCACTGGGACAGGAAATAGAATGGTAGTTGCCAGGGACGGGGCACGGGGAGGGGAAGGGGGAGAGAAGGAAGGAGTAGTTAGTGTTTAATGGGTACAGAGTTGCAGTTTGGGAAGATGAAAAGGTTCAGCAGATGTATGATACTGATGGTTACACAACAGTATGAATGTATTTGATACCACTGCACCATACACTTAAAAATGGTTAAAATGGTAACTTTCATTTTATGTATAATTTCCCACAATTAAAAGGAAAAAGGCGGCACAGCGCTTGCCTTAAACTCTAATAAGTAGCCTAATATATAAGGCAGGTAGAAGTGAAGCTGCTGTGGCCAAAGCAGGAATGCAGGGGGAGAGGTGCCGGCTCTGCATGGCATGTCCTTGCTGCCTCCTAGTGGCTCATGGACCCCGCAGAGGTTCAGAGCCATCACAAAGGAGGCCCCCGGCTCCATCCTAAAGGGCTCATGCACTGGTTTCACTGTTCTTAAGGAAAGAAAGGTAAAAAGTTACTCCTGGTTCCACTTCTAGGAGGAACTTAGCAACAAGGGAAAACGCCATCACCCACAGGCCTTCAGCCAAATGTCAACACTGACTTAGTTTTACAGAAATCCCTTTATATCCAGTGGCAGAGGAGACCTGCCAGGGGAAAGAGCAACATTAAGTCACTGGCACCCATACCCAATTATCACTAATGTCTCACATTTCCTGAGCCCTTTTCCATAAAAACTCAATCCTCAAAATAAGTCCATCAAGAAGGTACGAAAGACATTGTGTGATCTCCAGTTTACAAATGAATGAAAACCCAGTGGGCGTTATCCGCAGAGGATTACAGAAGTAGAACTGACTTTAGGATAATAATCACTAGCATTGATCAAGGATTTATTAATGATGACACTGGCTCAAGACTTTACATGGACTGTTGGATTTCTTACTTGCAACTAGCCTCTTCCACCATATTTGGTAGTTACCATTATTATCCTTCCTTTTTAGAGAAGAGAAAGGGTGAGGCTCAGAGAATAAATAACTATCCCCAAATTCAACAGCTGTAAGCAATGGACTGTTCTGAAACGTCTTACTCCGGAGACCATGCACCTAACCAGTATTATTTTGTCCTGCCCATCTGGGTCCCTGACTCTCGCTTTTTGGGAGAGGCCTAATCAGTGCTTCCTTCAGCCTTGAAAGCAAGCACAGCTGATGAATCTCCACAGGTCACTGTGTTTTCTAACCCTAAGTTGAACTAATGCTACCAAAATAAATCAGTACTCTTATTCCCTAAGCGTAAATGCAACAAGACACTATCACTTAGACTAAGAAGAGATTCCTAGATCCTTTACAATCCTATAGAAATTTACATACAAAACATCCTAAGACCATCAGAATAAACAGTCACATTGGGGTCACCCCATTTAATGTCTCTTTTCTGTAGGACTAAATCTGCCGATGGACAGAGTACTGATTGTTCCCTATACTTTTCTGAGAGCTTCTTCAGAACTTTCCGAGGATGTCTGCTTTGTTCTCCAGAAATTGGAAAGAGGAGAAACGCTCTGTGGTTTGTCAATAGGGCATCCGGTCTGCAGGGCTGCCCCATAGGATGCAAGGGCTTTGGGCCAGTTGAAACAAACATTAATTTGGAAGACATTCAAGCAAGGCTCCAACTGGGCAACTCTAAGGGGCAGGCAAGGGGAGGAGAGGGGCAGAGTCGTGCATAGCAGGGCTGCAAGCCGATGGCTAGAGTTCCTCCCACTGCTTCTGAGAGACTTCCAGGGACTATCTCCTTCACAAAAACCTTGAAGTAGCTTCTTAAAAACCACCAAACATATATACTAATTCTTGCAGCAAAACTCATATATGATATGGGCGTTTTCTTTACTTTAAAGGTTTAGAACCTAAACACCACCTGCTCCATTTATTTGTTTGTTTGTTTACTTTGGCCGTGCTGCTCGGCTTGCGGGATCCTAGCTCCCCAACCCAGGATGGAACCCGAGCCCCCAGCAGTGGAAGCTCAGAGTTCTAACCACTGCACCGCCAGGGAATTCAACACCAGCTCTTCCTAACTCCATGTGTCACCTTCGCTGTGACGGTGTGATACCCTGAGCACAGACCTGCCACTCCACTAACCCTGGGGACATGGCTTTTCCCTCTTCCATTACGAACATCCCACAACGGGGCCACAGCGTGCATGTTCCTCTCACCCGAGAACAGGGGATGAAGGAGGGTCTTACCGAGTTCTCCTTCAGCTGCAGCCCCTCCCCGTTGGGAAGTGAGGACCGTCTCTTAGCTGAGTTCCTGTTTGGGGTTGAGGTAATGGCCCCTGCTTTCTTCTTCACGGTGAGCACCTCACAGCTGGCTTGGTCTTCATTGTGTGTGCTCTTCCCGGCGTTGATAACCCTGGAGGAGAAGCCAGAAAAGCCGGTCAGACAGAGTGATGTCTGGAGAGCTGAGAGCCCAGTCCCTCAGGTCAGCCCAGACAGGCTTCACAACTGGCACAAAACGAACGCCCTACTTAATGCACAGGACCTTACAGGCTTGGTGGAGTAAATGGATTTTTTTTTTTAATGTAATTCTACCAGCATATGTTAAAACATGTGCTAAAGCAATATGCTGAGGTCAGCTCACCTTCGCAGGCGTCTGATAGACGGGATCAACCCCACCAATCCACTTCCAGTCAAAACACTCGAGACAATCACTCTTTTTGCCAATTACATTGAAGACAGATGGCTGGCTCAGGGAATTCCGTTGCATTTCTCCAAGTGATAGAGCAAAACCACCATCAATCTTATCAAAGAACAAGGCAGTCATTTACAGCACACTGTAAAATCCAAGAGAACAGAGAACTGTATTTCATGACTGCCATGACCACTTTTACTTTACACACGGAGAAGTGAACGGATCAAAGGTTTATTCTTTTAAAATTATCTTCACTCCTTTATCTTTTCTCATGTAGAATAACACTCCTCACGTTGCATCATCACAACAGACTATAGGGCATGCTGATTTGTACGTGTGGCCCTATGATCTCATGGCATGTCGATATTCTTTGGCCTAATTACTAATGTTTTGAGCACAGGAATGCCTCAGAAAAACATGCTACATCATTCATAGACCTTCTTCTGTATCAGGTGACCGCAGAATGAACTCCTGGGTTTCGGTACCATTTTCTTATTAGTTCAGTGGCAGCTAAATTAGTTTTCCTGAAAGAGAGCTCTCCTTGATGTGCCATTGACTGTGTTTTTTTCCCAAAATTTCAACAGTGTCACAGTAGGTGACAGAGTGAGTGTGGAGGATACAGACTCAGTGGCAAGGAAAGAAAGATGCTTTTTTTTTCAAAATAAGGTAAGACAGATGGAAAACCACTTTAAAAGTGTGGTATATACACCACTCAGTCTTGTTGTACTCCCTCCTAACAATTAATTAGAAGATGATCATTTTCAAATGACTTTTTATAAAGAGTTTTAAATTCTGAAATAATTATAAACTCAGAGTAAACTGCAAAAATAGTATAGAGAATCTCATGTACCCTTCACCCAACTTCCCCCAAAAGCAACATTTTATATCACTCAAGTACAACATCAAAACAAGCAACTGACACTGATCCAGCGCTGTCAACCAGACTGCAGACCTTATTCAAATGTCACCATTTTTTATATCAAATTGCTTTCAGTACTAAAAACTGTATACACGCTACAATCAAACAGGAAACAGAGCAAACTGAGATCTGAGTGCTGTAAGACTTCAGGGAGTGTGTTTTGAACAGTCTTCTACCAAACCTTGGGATTCTATGGAGGTGTTTCAGATGTTTTAACATTTACTTTAAATTTATTTTTTAAATGTATAAGCATTTTGGAAAAAACTGCAATAATTTAAAAGTTGATTCCCATCTGTTACATGTGAACAAATACATGCTAGTCTATATATTTTGGGCAGCTTTGGCATTATAATCCTTCTATCTTTTCTCTTTGACCAGTATCACTTGATTGGAAGAAGATCTGTTTAAAAAAATACCATTTGAGGGATTTCCCTGGTGGCGCAGTGGTTAAGAATCTGCCTGCCAATGCCGGGGACGCGGGTTCAAGCCCTGGTCTGGGAGGATCCCAAATGCCGCGGAGCAGATAGGCCCGTGCACCACAACTACTGAGCCCGTGTGTCACAACTACTTAAGTCCACGTGCCTAGAGCCTGTGCTCCGCAACAAGAGAAGCCACCGCAATGAGAAACCTGCGCACCGCATCAGAGAGTAGCCCTCGCTCGCCACAACTAGAGAAAGCCCGCGCTCAGCAACAAAGACCCAATGCAGCCAAAAAGAAATAAAAAAAAAAAATTTTGCAATTACTTATCTATATGTAATAGGAAAAAGATCATAAAAGTCATCTACTATCTCCGCTATTTCAAATTTCTGTTCACTGAAACTGCTTTATCATTCTTCCTGAGTTTATTATAAATTTCAACTTAACCATATTTTTATAAATGGAAGTCTTTAACTCATTTTACACACGACAGTTTTGTGTAAGATTCTTTTTTTTTTTTAAAGTAGATTGTTGCTTACAGAATATGAAGACCATTGTCCTCATGGTGGGGGTCCCTCGTAGGAGGCAGGGGTCCCTGCTGATCTCTGTGAGGTCAAATCTGCCTCCACACCCTCTCAGGGATGAAGGGAGGAAAAGGTCAAGGTCTAGTTTTCGGCCCCACCTTCACTCTCTCCTCTAAGGAGGAGGCGTTTTCACAAGGTTTAAGAATACAATGCTGAGAACCTACTGTAGAGCACAGGGAACTCTACTCAATGCTCTGTGGTGACCTAAATGGGAAGGAAATCCAAAAAAGAGGGGACAGATGTATACATATAGCTGATTCACTTTGCTATACAGCAGAAACTAACATCACTGTAAAGCAACTGTACTCCAATAAAAAAAAAATTAAAAAAGAATACAGTGCAATTCTTGACGACACGATGAAGACACACACTACCTGCATAAGACCATTAATACCACTATGCTTGCTGCCCAAGCTAAGTTATCCCAAGTTCCACAGCCAGGAAGGAGCGCTGCTGGGATTCAGAGTGAGGCCTCCTTTGACCCCCAGCCCAACCTCTTCCTATTATACACGGGGATTTGCATCAGTCGGTGGGAGGACCAGCTGGACTGTGTGGGGAAGCACGGAATAAGCAGATTAGGCAAGCTCAGGTCCGTGCCTGAGAGAAAGGGGATTCTCTCCCTGCTTCTCTAGCTACTGGAGAAGGCACCCAGAGGAAGGATGAAGGATGGATGGTTCAGACCTGCCTGTCTCTAGAGGAGCCCACATTTAGTCCAGGTGTTTGCAGCTGGAGCTCCTAATACAGAACATGCATTTGTCTGGAGTTTCCCTTTCACATGGATTTTTGGAGAATCAAACCCGGCAGAGGAAGGAGATTTAAAATACCACCTGCCTCTTCTCTGTCACTGATAGTGACTTCCAAGCAACACGTTTGGGGCGGATGGTTCGCTGGATGGTGATGTTACACCCCCGTGGTCACCCACTAACATCTTCCCTAGGGAAAGCCAAAGTGGAGGCTCGGCTAGGAAAACAAGTTCGTGACAACCGTCCCTTCCGTACCGTCCTCTGAACAAGATCGGAGCTTCTATTTCTGGAACTTGTCATCACCCTGACCATTGGGACCCAAAAAAAAAACCTGACTAAAGCATAACTTTAACAAAAAAAAGCATCACTGATCTCCGAAAGCTGCATGCCAGGTTGACTCATCTGCCACTGCTATTTTCCAACAGTCAACAAAGCTACGATAATTACATAAATCACGAATCACTGTCCCTTGAATGTGCTGTATATCTCCTATCTCTCTTGGGGGATATTAAATTCCAAAGTTGACCTAACTTCAGCAAGAGACCCTAGAATCTTTATTGTATGCATGAGAAACCCAGGGCCCAGGAATACTGTGGCTTACACAAGGTCACACAGCTAAATACAGCACAGTCCCAGCTCTTTCTGCTTCAGCTCTCAGTTGTTTAATTTTTCTATTGTGTGTCTATTCTTATGGGCACTTGGTTGAGAAGGCTGTCCAGCAATGACTCATCAAAGCCAGGGAACCGTGAAGAACAATCAAGGGTACACTTCCTTTGCCATTTCAAGCGAATACAGCTTGTGAATGACACTGACGAAATATCACAAAGTCAGAAACGTCAACCTAGAGGGAAGACAGCAGCCCCAGCCCTGGAAGCCTGTTTGGTCAGATATCTGATTATTACCCAGATGATAGTCATTTTAATGAAAGCCATTGCCTTTTTAAAACACACAACTGCTATCCAATATTTCATATTATTTCAAATTCCTGACTCTGTACAGCTTTAGTAGAAAGACCTGATTCTTCTCAATTTATTTTGGCTTTAAAAAGCTTGACCTGGGGCTTCCCTGGTGGCGCAGTGGTTGGGAGTCCGCCTGCCGATGCAGGGTACACAGGTTCGTGCCCCAGTCCGGGAAGATCCCACATGCCGCGGAACAGCTGGGCCCGTGAGCCATGGCCGCTGAGGCTGCGCGTCCGGAGCCTGTGCTCCGCAACGGGAGAGGCCACAGCGGTGAGAGGCCCGCATACCGCAAAAAACAAACAAATAAAAAGCTTGACCTCTATCAACTTAAATATTTCATTTTGTTCTTCAAAGGCAAATGCTTTGTTTACTAAATATAAATAAAACCTCCAATTCCTCTAAAAGTAAACTGAGAAAAACTGTTTTCTGAGTTCAGAAGCATCATTCTGTCAATAGGTTCAATTTTTTTTTTATGTGAGCAACTCTATCATTCCCTTCTTATCATAGGCTCCAGCAAAAAGTCAGCACTATCTTGAGATCAACAGGAATGACTTCAAGATGTCCTTTCTTTAAGCAATACCCACCCATGATGCTTATTTTGAAGACTTAAAGACAAAACCGTTGGTGGACCACAAATCATCATCTCTTTGGTGTCATTATTTTCCAATTTCCTACAAAGGAGGAGAACATCTTCCTTGAAATTAAACTGGAAGTAATAAAGCACAATGGTTAAGACATGGGCTATCTCCCCAGAACTTAGCACACAGCAGGTGTTCAACAAACATCTGCTGAAACAATGAATGAAACCAGACAGAAATCAACTCTGCTACTTCCTAGATGTAGGGTAATAACAGTATCTTACACTTGTTGAGAACTAATTATGTGCCAGGGACTGTTGTTAGCATTTTACATGTAGTAATTAACTCATGTAATCCTCTGTGGACTCTACGAGTTGGCCACTACTGTTCTCCTCTTTTTAAAGTCACAACTACTGGACAGCAGTGTTTGGTCAAGTTGCTTAACTTCTGCAAACCTCAGTTTCTTAGTAGTACTTCTCAGATTAAATTCTGGGAGTTGCTAAAATATATGTGTTCGGGAG